GCTGCACCAATCTACAGGGGTGAGAGAGGAGGGGCATTTTTACCTGGGTATATTACAGCCCTGAACAAAAATTGAATTGTGTTGGTAAGGGAGAAGACTGGATATTGGTTAGTCGGTATCATCTCAGTGCCTTACCCAGGGTGTGTGTGTGTGTGTGTGTGTGTGTGTGTGTGTGTGTGTGTACAGCTTGATCAAATGTGTGTTCTACCTCACTTCCTATTAGAGGTGCAATTCCAGAGACAAAAAATATTTTCTGATGCTCACTTTATCAGTCAAAAGCCAAAAGATGGCTTGCTGAAGTAAGGATAATGTTAAAAGGATCTTTTTGCAAAGATATGGACAGGACCCTATCTTGATAGAAGTATCGACCAGGAGGGCCTTATCCCAGGGCTCCTAATGCAGGTGCTGTTACTATGCAGGAGAGAGACTATGGAGAACAGGTCTCCTTGAAAAGGGTAGTGACCTTCCATTAAGAGACACAGCCAGCTTGACTCAACCTCATGACATCACCCTCGTCCAACTGTGCTCTCACTGGTCACACCCAACCAGTGAGGCACAGTCACCTGATTCTGTCCTCTGGGACAGACAGTGGGTGGGGAAAGGCGCAGAGTGCATCCAAGGGCCACACAAAGTCAACTGGCGAAGCTGTCTATTTGAACACTACCGAAGATGAAATGCTAGACGCAGGAATTAATTTCAGCAGTGCCTTGGAGGTTACTGTAATTGGGCCTAACCTAAATACTTGCAATCTCAGTTTACAGTAACAAGGTATCCTGGGAAGTTTTTCCTGAGGCTAATGTGGATACATCTGCCTTGGAAACTGTGGGCCAAGGGCCAGGGAGCACAGGGGCAGGCCCTTGTGTTTGGTGCAGCGGACAGCACACTCCCCAGCATCGCATATCCAAGCGTAAATCCTGTCTTTCCCAATTGCCACATGATGTTTGGAGTTCTGGCAAGTTACTGAAGCAGCTAAGCCTCAGTTCCCAATCTGCAAAGTGGAGGTCACAGTGGGACCCATTTTGCTGGGTTGTTGCAAAGTGCTTAACAAAGGGCCTCGCTTACAATGGGTGCTTGAGATTCTTTCTTATCTTGTCCCCAAATGAAGGGCAATCAGAGTTCGTTTAGACAATCCTTCCCCCGCCTCTTAAGTAAGCACCAATTATATGCCAGGCGCTATGTGAGACACTTTATGTTCATTACTTGAACCATCATAACAACTCTTCAGATAAATACAGTTCCCATTCTATGGATGAAGCAATAGGCCTGCGAAGGTTAGGAGCATTGCAGGCCCACGCCGGCAGCATGGAGGGTGAGGTTTGGCGTGCGTATGTCTGATTTCCCGGGCTGTGTGTCCTTCACTGCACCCTCCCCTCGGTCCCTTCCAGAGGCATCTGGAATGGCATTAATGGATTTGCGACGTTTCCCCTTTTTGGCAGGTGGTAGCAGGGTTTGTCTTTAATCACAGCACAAGTAAATCTGTTTTTCCACAGATTTTCATTTTATTAAATTGGAGACTGTTTTCTAGGGAGAAATGTCTCTCCTCGCTGTCATGACATCATACATGGGCAGACAGTCACTTCAAAGTTCAACACAGGACTCAGGGTTTTGTTGGCTCCGGCTCTAGATGTGACAGGATAATGTAGCACCTGGCCCAGGGCTGTGCCTGCCTTACATTTCATAAGCGTTTGTGTAACTGCTCACACACTGCCCTTTTTCCCTGGGTCACACGCGCACAGGGGGCTGTGTTCCTGTGAGCCTTGTAGTGGCCAGTGGGGGCTGGTGACTTTCAGAAGCACAGATGAATGTGGGGTGAGGGAGCTAAAGGCAGAGAAGCAGCCTCAAATGAGCGGGCAGGTAGGGTTCGGCCTCAGGTGAGTAGATAAGAAGCCCATGAAACCCAGAGAGTGAGCCGGGTGGTGTGGGCCCCCCCACGGGACCAGAGGGCCCTGCAGGACAGGCTGTCCCACCTAGTGCTGCTTCTGGTCAGGTCCTAGACTTCCCAGCAAACCCTCCTGTCTTGTTTCGCATTCCCACATGACACAAGGAACAGGTGTATCAAAGAGAGCACTGAACTCAGGAGACGGCAACTTTTAAACATAATTCCTTTAGGGGTGTAAACCCCCATCCACCAATGCACCAACACTCAAGAATATTCTCTTAAAAAACTAACTATAGAGGAAACAGAAATGTGGGCAAAAATGTGGCCATATATGGAAGTTAACAAGCTTAGGGCAGGCCTGTATGATGGTCCTTACACACTCAGAGACCAAAGAAATCACCTGGAATGGTCTGAACACAAACATCCATATATAGAAAGGAGTCACGTCCTAGGCCTGTAGCTTCCTTGACAAAGAAAAGTCCTTATGTTAAGCGAGCCGGTCTATTATCTCTTTACATCTAAAATATTGTAGCTATGAAATGTCAGAGTCATCTCCAGACCCCGCTGGGCACACCCCGTGCACCAGAGCACTAGGCCACGGAATCCCTCCTTGTTCCCTGAATACCTTTGTGCTGAGACTGCTAACTGTCCTGTGCCTACCAATGTCAAAGTGTCTCTCCATTTCATTTTTTATCTAATCTCAGAGGTCTCCCCACTTTGCTTTCTCTCACCCCCTTAACCAACCACTAATGGGTTTCATATAACCCTCCTTACATATCCTCTTTTGATTTTTATGTCTAAAACTAGCGGCCCAAATGCATGAAAATTCGTGCAAGAGTGGGCTTTGCTTTCCCCGGCTGCCGGCACTGGCTTTCCTCCAGCAGCTGAGACCCGGCTGGCTTCCCCCTGGCTCTGGCTTTGTCAGGAAGGATATCTGGGATGATGTCTGGTCTAATCAGCATATTACCCTTTTTTAAAATATATATATTTTATTGATTTTCCACAGAGAAGAAGGTAGAGGGATAGAGAGCTAGAAACATCGATGAGAGAGAGAGACATCGATCAGCTGCCTCCTGCACACTCCCCACTGAGGATGTGCTCGCAACCAAGGTACATGCCCTTGACCGGAATCGAACCTGGGACCTCTCAGTCCGAAGGCCGAAGCTCTATCCACTGAGCCAAACCGGTTTCGGCATTACCCTCTTATTATTATAGAAGATAGCTGTAAACTTGCCATTTACTGGAGCATCTTTTCAATCTGTTGTGATGTTGCTTTCTGGCAACTGTCGTTAGTTTGGCTCAAATAAACTCTTATAAGACATTTTCCTAGGCTGAACGTTCTTTTGTAGACAGAAGCAGCAAGAGAGCCAACGGGACCATTATAAAGGTTAATTTGGGGAGTCCTGCGTGCAGGGCACTTGGCTGACTGGCTGACTGCCTTGGTCTCTGCTTTCAGACAAACTTGACAGGGTCTGGCTGCCCCCATCACTGAAAAGCAAGAGAGGTGAGGACAGAGAACCAACCCCTGGGACCCAGACTCTGACCTTTTTTGTTCTCTTTCTCTCTATGGGTTCATCAAGCTGGAAGAGACCTCGATTCCCACCTTCGAGGATGAAGACAGTGAATGGAGTGTGGTTGAGTGACTTGTCCCAGAGGCAGACTCGTCTCAGGGCTCCTCCCAGAGCACATGTGCAGGGGACAGGCTGCCTTCGGCCTCGTCCCGCCTTTCACTTAAATGCACCAGCACAGGACTTCAGGAGTTTTGTGTGCAGGAGCCGAGGTTTTGGGGGCTTTGGAAGCGTGGTTGTTTGTTGGTATTTTTTCCTGCTGACTAATTTCCATTTGCTATCCTTGTCCTATGGCCGCCTTGGTTTAGGGCTCTGGCATCTGGTCTGGATCAGCCTCCTGGGGCCCCCCTGCTCCAGCACTGCCGCCCTCCTTGGGGGGGAGAGGGGGTGCAGCGTAAACACAGGTGGGATAGAATGCAAAATGAACAGGACCACACTGGCCAGAAGGAACCTTTCACTAGTGGGTGCGGGGTACAGAGAGAAAAGGAGCAAACACATGACAGGCTGAGCAGTAAGCCAGTCTCCACAGGCTGCCTGGCCCCTTCCACCTGGACAAGGGAGCCGCAGTGCTGCCCAGGTCTCTCTTCAAGACGTCTCACCAGGGATGCCACGTGCACTTACATGGGCCGCTCCACTTCCTCTGGCAGGAAGGTGGCCAGGGAGGCACCATGGGTTTTCTGGGTAGTAAACGCTCAGGTGTCCGCTGCCCTCTGCCCCACGCTTCCCAGGGGACTCCCAAACCCCTGCTGCCTTCCAAGGAAAACACTTGCTGAGCTCCGAGTGGGCTCTGCTACGTGAGGTGCAGGAGAGGACTCGGTGTGGGGCTTGGCACACATGGTGTGCACCGTGCCATCTGCAGCGCTGCCTCTGAAAACATTTTCCAGTGAGAACTTAGATAATGTTTTCCAGGAGTGCGGGGAGGCCATCTGCTTCCTCCTACAGGCCACGGTGCAGGGGACCTCAGACGGCTCACGCCTGCCCTGCCCAGCGCTGTTTCCCCACCGTTTGCAGCAAAGCAACGCGCCAGTGTCCCCACAACTCGCCTCCATTTGAGACTGTGTCCCCTTCCGTCTGGGTGGCGGGGGACAGTGGGTGCCTAGTCCCTGAGCAGGGAGTCCCTGAACCCCAACAGTAGAAGGACTCTAGCCTCCGCGGATGGAGAGCTCGGTGGGCCTCCTGTCGAGTTTCTGAAGCCCATCTCCTCGCCACACTGGGCAGAGGATGGTGCTCGCGTGGCTGTGGAGTGGACAGACTGGGTGGGCGTCGCACTGGGCGTGAAGTGTGGGGGGGGGGGGTGTCAGCTGCAGGCTCCCTGCCGGGCTGGGGCCGGGCAGGGGCCAGGCAGGAGGCCTCGCGCCGGTGCGCGTCCAGCCTGGCCTCGTGCTCCGTGCGGACCCGCTGCCCTCCCCGGGGCCCTGCACATTCCCCCCCCCCCCCCCCCCCCCTCGGCCAGGTCCTGGCGTGGCGCCGCCTGCGGCTCGAGCTGGGCGCGCTCCAGGCGCATTCCTGGCCGGCGGCCCCTCCTCCCTCCCCGCCCGGGGGCCGGCGCCTCCCTCCGCGCCCCCGCTGCACGGCCAGGGCGCTGGTGGCCGCAGGCGCCCGGGGCGGCGCGCACCGGCTTAACTGCGCTCCCTCTGCTCCCTCCCAGCGGCCGCCGCGCTCCCACCGCCCGGACCCTGCGGGCTGGACGCACTGGACATCTGCTGGACACCCTCGGCACCGGCGGGACACCCTTGGCAGCCTGCGGACAGCGGCGTTCCCTCCAGGCAGAGAGGTCCCCGCCGGCGAGATGCGGCTCCCCGGCCCCCGCGCGCTCCTCCTCCTCCTGCTGCTGCTCGTCGCCGGCCCGGCGCCGCTGGGCGCCCAGGTCAGTGTCCCCCGCCCCCTGGCCGGTGCCGGACCGGGATCACCTCCGCTGGGGGCGCGGGCGAAGGGCTCAGAGCGACCCGGGGCAGGGCTGCTGCTCAGGGGCAGGCGCCAGACCCTCCCGTCCTCCTGCTGGTCACCGCGCAGTCCATCGCTTCCGAGGCCAAGGGGTTCTGCCGGGGTCGGGTTGGGGGAAGGTCTCCCTGGCTATGAAATGTGTTCTCTGCCGGGTCCCCAGGAGCAGTGCAGGTACGGGCTGGGTCAGAGTCCCCGCCTCCCGCTTCCGTGCGCTTCCCTTGGTCCCATTGCCGCCGCGGACTTTCCCACGCGCCCGCGGGCTCCTGGTTCACTTTCCCTCCTTCCGTTTGTGTGCAATGGCGTCTCACTGTGTTTATTGATTGGACCAGACTCACTTATATATAAAGCAGTAATATTAAGATAAGAATGCACACAACGGTGAGGAAAATTAAGGTAAGAATGCACACGATGCAATAAGCAGCAGATGTATCATAGAAGTGTACATCTGAAACGCATATAATGTTAAATAACCAGGTCACCCCAATAAATTTAATTTTTTTTTTTTTAAAAAAAAGCCCCTTCTTGTCCGCACAGCTGCCCAGATAAAAATGCATCTTCCGGCCCTAGCTGGTATGGATCAGTGGATAGGGCATCGGCCTGCAGACTGAAGGGTCCTGGGTTCGATGGGCTGGATCCCCAGTGCAGGAGGCGGTCGATCGATGATTCCCATCATTGATGTTTCTATCTCTCTCTTTCTCTTTGAAATCAGTAAAAACATATGTATTTTTAAAATACATCTTCCAAAGGTGGACCTGGATGTGCTGAATTCGCAGCCAGCACCGCCAGGTGAGCTCCAGGGTCAGAGCGGCTCCCGCTCTGCGGAAGCGCAGCTTGTGCCCCACAACACCGCCCACGGCAGTAACAGTGCCGGGAGGGAAGGCCTGCACACGCCTGCTGCACCCACTGACGTTTATAATGACTCATTGTGATAGGTTTATGGTCCGTCTTTCCCACTTCAGGGCAGGGACCAGCTCCCGTGGGAGCTCAGTGGAATGAATGGAGCGTGGGCATGCTGGTGGTGGTCTGAGCAGGACCCGGCTGGGATCTTCTAGAAATCCTGGTGCCTGCCTCACCCAGAGATTCTGACTCAGCTGGTCTGGGTTGAGACTTAGGCATCAGTATTTTTAAAAAGTCCCTAGTGATTTTAATCAAGCAGGTGCCTGAAACCCAGGGAACCCCAGCTTTCAGCGTTAAAAGCTATGGACTAGGAAGGGGTTGAAGGCAGAAAAACTTGAGTGGACAAGGGTTGGACTCATGAGGACCTGAAGTGACTTGTGTGACTGGAGTTTTCCTGATCTGAACACAGGATGAGCCGCGGGCCAGACCTGTTGGCTGGTGGAGACTTAGCAAGTGTTTGGAGAATGACTTATATCCAGGGGAGCATCTCCTGCCACAGAAGAGACAGGCGGGGGACACACAACCCAAGGACCCTGAGGGACAGGCACGGGAGCTTCTGGCAGCAGCCCACAGGCATCAAGGGTGCCTGATCCCCGTGTGTGCTCACTTTGTTGTATTAGGTGACATGGTGTGTGTATATGTGTGTTGGTGTCTGTGACTGTGTGTGCACGCCTCTGTGTCTGTGAATGCTTGGTTATATGTGTGATAGTGTGTGTGCACGTATGCACATGTCTGTGTTGTGCCTTCGTGTATGTGTGCGTGCATGCATGGTATAGGATGGCAGGAAGCTGCTTCTGCAAGGGCCTGCAGGAGGACCTTGAGGGGACGGACAGTCTCATTTGCTCTTTTGAGGATTTCCATGGCTTTCCTCTTGTGTCCTCCTTGTTAGCACATCTGTCCTGAGCCCCTTTGCAGGTGACGTGCTGAGGAGAGCAGGTGGTCCTGGGGAAGAAGGAAGGTTGAGCAGTCTGGGGATCCCACGAGTGGGGGGCCCTTTCTTAACACTGCTGTCCATTCTGAATGGGAGAACACTGAACAGTGCCCCGCGCTGGGCACGCGGGGGTTCAGTCTCAGCGTGCTCCTTGCCTGGGGGTTGGTATTTGTGTTCAAAAGCCCCCCCTCCCCAGAACCTCTCTGGGTTCCGATGTCACCGGCTCCAAATTCCTCCATTTGAAATGCTCAAGGGAAATGTGTGTGGGGCACATGTCCGCAGTTTTGGCCGCAGAACCATACCCTGTGCATGGTAACCACCACACAGACAGCACACAGGGCAGTGCCCCCAAACCGACCTGCTCTTCGCCCTACAGTTGTCTTCCCCACAGAGTCACAAGCGCACAGCCATTTGCCTGGCTTCTCCCATTTAACACAACGCAGTTAAGATTCTTCCATGTTGTCCCGAGTACCCATGGTCCTTTTACCGCTGCTGGGTAGTCTTCCACTGTGTGGATGCACATGGTTTTTCATGCTTTTTAAAATGCATTTTTATTGATTTCAGAGAAGGAAAGAGAGAAGGAGAGGGAGAGAGTGTAGGGGGGGGGAGAGAAAGAGAGAGAGAAAGAGAGAGAGAGAGAGAGAGAGAGAGAGAGAGAGAGAAACAACGATGAGAGAATCATTGAAAGTCTGCCTCCTGCACTCCCCACACTAGGGATGAAGCCTGCAACCCTGGCATTTGGTGCCCTGACCAGGAATCAAACCCTGACCTCCCGGTTCATAGGTTGACACTCAATAGCTGAGCCATGCCATCCAGGGCCAGTTTGTTGATCAATGCCCCGGCTGAACTGAATGACACCCGTGGTGACAGTTCCCGTGTTTTGGGTGATTGTGAATAGGGCTGCTATGAACATTCCCACACGGCTCTTTGTGGGAATGAAAATGGCCATTTTTCTTGGGTAAACATCTAGGAGTGGGATTATTGAGTCATGTGGCAAGTGTGTGTTTAACTTCAGGAGAAACTGCCAAACAATCTTCCCCATTAGTTGTATCTCATGTTCCCACCAGCAGTGTATAAGGCTCCATTACTCCGCATCCTCGCCAGCACCGAGTGCTGTCTGGTTTGTTGGCTCCTGGGTCATCGGAATAGTGTTTCTCCTTGAGGTTTGGATTCCCATTTCCCGAAGGACTAATTACTTTGGGAAGCTTTTCGTGTGCTTATTTGTCAGATGAGTAGTCAGTCGTTGCATAAAGTGTCTGCTCAGGCCTTCTGCCCAATTAAAAATGGTTGTTTCCTTAGCAAGCTTTGAGTGTTCTCTGTATGTTCTAAATACAAGTCCTCCTTCAGATCTGTGAGTTACAAGTGTTTTCTCCCAGTAGTTTGTCTCAGTGTCTTCCCCAGAGCAAAGGGTTTACATTTAGATGAAGTCCAGTTGATCGTTTTTTTCATTTTTATGGATCGCGCTTTTGGTGTCAAGCTCTTGGGAACTCTTTGCAGAAGGCGCCAGAGCTCCTGAGACCCTGTCCTAGCATGGCCTGGGAGTTAGGTTCATCCAGTGTGGGGTGCCCCAGCGGTCTGTGCCTGACCCGGGCTGCTGGGGCGGGTAGACTGGGTGGGTGGGTGTGGGGCGCTGGTGTCTCAGGAATGTAAGAGTAGAAAAGGCAGGGGGATGGGCTGGTTTGCTGTAAAAGGTGTGCTGGGGGCAGGGAGGGTGTTCCCTGTCCCAGAGCTCCAGCCATCAGCTGGCCTGAGTCCACAGGCCCCAGAAGCCAGGACATCAGACACAGAAACCAGACAATGTGGTAACACAGACCCAGTCCTGGGACTTTGCGTCCCCTGCATCCTGTTGGCCAGAGCAGGTCACAAGGCCAGCCCAGATGGATAGGGGGGAGAACAGATTTTCCTCTGGGAAAAGCGGCCGTGCCTTTGCAGACGTGGGCAGTCTGTGGGGGTGGCAGGAGGCCTGTAGCGATTGCTGCAAACCTTCCGTCACGGGACCCAGAGATGCACCCCCAAGGCCCCCGTGCTTGGACGGAAGGGAGCAGCAGGGCAGGAGGCAAAGGGAGGCCTTGCGGGCGTGCTGGCTTTCCCCGCGCCTCCCGCTCCCCGCACCTTTAGGAAAGGCTCCAGCCCTGTCGGGGCGCCCTGACTGCAGGGAGAGCGGAGGCCTCTCTACCCCAGGGCAGCGCCTGGCCCCAGGGCCTCGGGCAGTGGGTGTGGGGGGTGTGGACCGAGAGCAGCAGCGGTTTCCTGGTCCGCCTGGGGTCTCTGAGTTAGGATCCAGTGCGCTCCCAGCCCCACTGGCCCCGGAGGATCCTGTGGACACCAGCCTGGATCCCGGGACCACCAAACCACCGTGATCTGGGAGGCTGCTCCCCCCTCCACACGCCTGCCCAGACCTGCGTCCCGGCCGCTGCCCCAGGAGGAGTCTTCCTCTCCTGATTACTGACAGGCCGGACTGTGCTGGTCACTCCCATGACCCACAGGGAAGCAGTGGGGCTGCTGGACTCCTGCAGACTCCCTGGGTGGCAGAACTTTCTAGATCCTTTCAGACCTTCTGCCAACATCTTCCACGCTTCTCAGAAACTGCCTGGGACCTAAATGCAGGCCGTTACACACACTTTCACTAAAGAGGGAACAGACATCTGACAGGACCCAGGCCGACCCATTTCAGCACATCCACCTGCCCCTGTGCCTGGGACAGTGTACGCCTCTGGCAGCCTGGCCTCCAGGACCTTCCCAGGGAGAGCAAGGCTCGGGGAACTTGTCCTGGGGCTGGTGTCCCAGCAGGAGTGAGATGTGACACTGTTCACAGCCAGAGCGGAGAGAGAGACGGGAGGCCGGTGGAGCTCCAGGGCCTCCACGTCCCCACGCTGCCCTTTGTCCACTGAGGCCATCGGGTTGGCCACTGGCTCAGACCTTTCACTATCTCTGGACCCTCATTAAAGGGGAGGGTGCACTGCGGCCCCAGCAGACCCTCCCTCTGCTCACCCACCTGTGCAGGGGGGCAGGGTCCGGGTTCGAGAGCATGACTGGTACCCGCTGTGCAGCCCAGGGAGCTGAGAGAAGCAGACGGCTTCAGGCAGAGAGGGAGG